TTGTTTTTGTTGCCCCATCGCCATCGTCAGACTTTTTCATGACTTTCAGTCGACTAGATATCAACTTGCTAATATAGCAGCGGCGCGGCGGCGGAGAGGAGTTGGGCGCTGCAGAAGATGGCAACTGGGATGGGGTATGGTGACTACAAAGAGCGCCTGGCCACTTGCATACTCACATATTTATTTTGCTGCGCTGCAGCTAAAGGCGCTATTTGCACAGCGAGCCCCCCTCCAGCGCCTCACATGCACACACACACACACACAAAAAGCCGCTTAAAAATATGCATTGAAGCAAGCACAAAAAGCAAAGCAAAAGCAAAAAAAAAAACTGTTGCCATAGAATACGACGACTAGAGTAGAACACAAAATAATAAAACAAAAAAAAAAGACATGATAAAAAATTTTCATTTCTTGGCATAGAACAAAAAAGCACGCAAAACGGACGAGCAGAAAGCAGAAAACAGAAGGGAGAACTTACCTATACCACGCTCAAACTGTGTGTGACATGCAATTCACACACACACATACACGCAGCAAACAAACAGAACTGCATAGCACAAACGCTGGCAGCGCTGCTTGCAGTGACAGTGGCAATGCCAAAGGCAAAGGCAAACTGCATATTCGAGGCCTACATCAACATTTTTCTGCTTTGCAACAAGGGCGCGCTCCCAGAGAGCGCACTCAACAAACACTGTTACAGCAGGCGAGAGAGTGAACAGTAGAGGCAGCGAGAGCGAGAGAGCGCTCGCCCGCTGAATGCATATGTAAGGTGCTACGTTGCTACGGTGCTTGCATGTATTAGTGCTTGAGCGCCAGCGCAGCGGCTGCTGTGCATGTTGTTTGGCGGCTGGCCGCGGCGACGTCGACTGCAGTTTCCCAGTATGTGTTGTGCTCTCGTGGCCATAGCTATGGCTTCTGTTGCTCTTGCTGTCGCTGCCCCCAGCTCTGCCGCTTCCGCTGCCTCCGTCTCTGTTGCCGCGTAGCTTTCGGACGTTTACATGGATTATGTGGGTATGTAGTGCGGCGCAGCGTTGTGCCGAGACCGAGACCGAGAGACGACCAAGCAAGCACAATAACACAATGAACTCCAAATGTGGGCAGAGGCCGGGCTCAGCTTTTGAATGGTGTGGAGTGAATGAGAGGGATGCATGGAGGCCGCCGCTGGGCTGTCTTTTGTGTTTTGTTTTTGTACATTGCTTGGCGTCTATATATATGCTTTTTTTTTTACTTCTTTCTTCCTTTCTACTCTTTTCCTCTTTATTTTTCCCATTGCCCGCCTTTGTTTTGTTACTTCATGGCGTTCTTTGGCGCTGTGCGAGTTGGAAAAATGGCTTTTCATAGTGAAAAATGAAATGTGGCTCTGTGATTGTGTGCTCTTGTTGTTGTTCTTGTTGTTGCTGTAGCCTTTGTATTTTGTATATGAAATATAATAACTCATCTGGCTGATGCGTTACACTGGAGCGCACCTCCAGCCTGAGGTAATTGCAAACGCAAAATGGCGGCCAATAACTGCTGACGCGCAACTAGCCGTAGCAGCTGCTCTAGCGCCACCTGGCGCCAACCACAATGTGCTCGATTATAAATGTACTCAAAACATCCACAAATTGACTTTTCGGTTTGACTGTAATTCCGTCTGTGCATATTAAATGGAAATTTGTTGGATATTATCTTTGAAATTGGGATAAAAAGAAAGTGTTGCCGAGATTAACAATTTAACTCGAAACATATCTGTTTCATTGGCATATGATCCACATAAATAATAATGTAAGGAGTTCTCCCAAAAGAGAGGAAATTTATGATCCTCAAATGTATTTGTTTTCTGTTTTTTTAGGAATTTAGCGCACTTCAGAGATTAAATACTTCCCTGATAAATGCAACAAAGATTCTTTTGAAACCGTAGCGATTCAAATAAAGTTGCTTTTCGTATACGATCCATACACGATCCACAATAATATATAAAATATATAAGATATTTTGGACAAAAAACTACTTTTAAAACTCCACAATCTAGTTGCCATACGAGCCTTATGCGGTCTACACACAGTCCACACGCAATCCACAAGCTCCTTAAGTTTAATCCAAAAGGTATGTGCCAGCTTATTTTAATATGTTTTTTTTGTGTATCTGCCACCAAATTTCGCTAACGTTGGGCATTTAAAGCACAAACATATCAAATAGGATCCACAAGATTATCTTATGGGCTTCATTAGAAAAGTCTTTTTACGGCTTTCATTAAAAAACTTGTTAACTTTCTTAAATTTAGTTTAACCAACAAACCACAAATACTAAACTTAATATCTTCAATCTAAAGCCCAAAGCTTAAGCTCTTAGGTTTCCCAATTTAAAGTTTTTTAAGGCTGTAATCAATATTCTTGCAATTTCTAATCATGGAAATTCCATAAAATTGAAGCTATCAGCGGCAAGTTTAAGCTTGTCATGGCTCGAACAGGGCGATTAAAATAAGTTGCTTAGTTGTTGTTGTTGTTGTTGTTGTTGTTGCACAGCTCAAACAAGCCATGAAAATGCCAAACATTGCATGACGTTGTCAGCGATAAAACAACGCCTAGGGAGCCACACACAGGCACACACACACACACATAATAATTGTGTGCGGTTGGTCAGGTTTTTACTTTTTTTTTCTGCTGCTGCAGCTTTTGTTGTTGTTGCTGCTGCTGTTGCTGCTGCTGTTGTTGCTACACACTTTTTCTTTGCCGCAACAGCAATTTACTGCATTTTTCATTTACCATGCGAGCGGCACACACACTCGCACACACACTCGCACATGCCACACGCTGCACGTTGCACGCTGCAGTGAAAATTTTGCAGTCAAGTTGGCGTCGCCGCTGAAGCAGACGAAGTTTGCATGACGCCGCACTTTATTTCATTTTATTTAGCGCGAGTTTTTTTTTTTTTTTACTTCTTGTGGCAGTGAAATTGAAACGAGGCACAGGGAAAGTGGGCGCGGCGGGTGCCAGAGGCGCGCAGCCAGCCAGCGAACGGGCGAACGGGCGTACGGGGCGTATGCGCAATATATCATTGCAGCACAGAAGAAGAAAAAAAAAACTGTGTTATGTCGACAATGCACCGCGTTGCACTCACCATGCACCATGTGGCATAGGTGGTTTTTTGGGTGGCAAAGCTTTTGCACTTGTGCCCAAGTGTTTTGCTGCTCGGCTGTGTCTTGGGGCTTTGGCTTCTTAGTCGAGTGTCTTGCTGTTAAGCTGGTCGCCTTGCTGCCTGCCACAGCCACAGCCGCTGCCTGCTGCCTGCTGCCTGCCGCACGCAGTTGTAGTTGCAGCAACGCCTCTTTGTCGTATCTTTTTTATCTACTTGGGACGCGCCTCCATTCGCCCATCTATGCAACCATCCAACCATCAGGCTGCCCGATTATGACTGTCTTTGCACACAACAACTTGCACTTGATATGCTTTTTGTCGCATGCCACCTCTGCCCGGCCCCTGCCCCACGCTCTCTTAATGTGTGCCCTGAACGTGACTATTTGTATAATGTGTCTGAGCCAGCGCTCTTCAGAGTCCACAGTCCACAGTTTCCTGTCGGGGCACAAGTCAAAATCAAAATATAATCGATACAACTTGAATATTGTATTCTCAACTAACTACTTATATATAGATTTACCACATGCGATCCACACAAAAATTCTATCAAAACTATCGTCAAATTGACATCGATTAGTAATCATTTTCAAATGTTATCCTCATATCATACACATACAATCCACATACTTAAAACAGCAACTTATTAAAGGAAAGTAGACATGTTCTGAATGGGATCCACACCCAATACAGAAGTAACAGTTCCGGTCGAAATATTTGTTCTATGCTCTTATATTTTACACATAGCATGCACATAGGATCCACATCAACACTTCACAGTTAATCCTCTGACATTCATCTAAGTCAAACTTATTTTATGATAAACATTTATTTAGTTATGATATGTTCTCTTCACGGAATCCACACATAATCCACACGGAATCCACGTGTCAATAAACTTTGGTAAATATAGGTTACTGTTCTGAAATTGAATATGCAATTTTAAAGAACTGTCAGCCCTAATTTCTAGAACCTCACATAGGTTCCTCATGGAACACTCTTTAAAACCCTTCAATTCATCTAAATCCAAAATATTCAATGAAAGAATTTCCTATACATAGAGTACATATAAAATCCACAGAGTATCGTTAAGATATTTGTTAAGCATGAAAGCATAGAATCGACCTGTGATTTATTTATATATTACGCCTTTTTCCAGTATCCCACATAGGATCTACAGAGAATCCACATTTGATATTTTTAATATTGGAATTGTTAAATTATAGATTGATAGAGTTTCTAGAACTGAGGCCCTTCAAGAATTTTCTACTTTTTTTTGCGGATTTGTTTAGGTCTATATTTTTTCTTTATTTAATCCATTTCTGCCTAGTCGATTTCTTTGTATGCGATGATTGCTGCGCGACTTTGAGCGTACGTTAATTGAATTTTAAATTTTTGTTGGTTGGATTTTGTATGTTGCCCGCTTAGAGACCCCGTTTGCAGATACGAAAAAAACAGATACAGATACAGATACAGATACAGATACAGATACAGATACAGATACAGCTATTTGGAGCTGGATGTATATATATATATATGTGTGTGTATTCTGATGTAGATATACAGCTAGACAGAGTTTACATAGGGGGGAGCTTGGTGACAGTCTCTCGATATATTTTTTTTTGCGCATGCAAATTTAAAATACAACGAACGCTCAAATCCCCTCAGCTGATCAAAATTTATTTATTTGGGTCTAATGTTTTATGTAAGACAATACAAAGAAAAAAAAAAGAAACAAGAAGAACAGCAACAATAAATCGATTTATATTAAAAATTCACGGAAATCGTGAGTTAAAAAAGAGGAACAAATAAAACGAAATTGAATTTTGTATTCGTAATTTTATTAATTTAAATTTGTATTTAATTTGGCTCGAATGTGCTTTGCAGGTCGCGATGATCTCTCGCCCTCGAGCAGCCTCAACGGCTACTCCGCCAACGAGGGCTGCGATGCGAAGAAGAGCAAGAAGGGTCCGGCGCCGCGGCTGCAGGAGGAGCTGTGCCTGGTCTGCGGCGACCGGGCCTCCGGCTATCATTACAACGCGCTCACCTGCGAGGGCTGCAAGGGCTTCTTTCGGCGCAGCGTGACCAAGAACGCGCACTATTGCTGCAAATTTGGGCGGGCCTGCGAGATGGACATGTACATGAGGCGCAAGTGCCAGGAGTGCCGGCTGAAGAAGTGCCTGGCCGTCGGCATGCGGCCGGAGTGCGTTGTGCCGGAGAATCAGTGCGCGATGAAGCGGCGCGAGAAGAAGGCCCAAAAGGAGAAGGACAAGGTCTCCAGTTCGCCCAGCTCCCAGCACAGCGCTGGCGGTGCCGCCGGTCCACTGCTTGGCACCCATGACTACGTCAAGAAGGAGATACTCGACCTCATGACGTGCGAGGCACCGCAGCATGCCACAATTCCGGTAGGTCCCATTAACCATGAACACCACATTTCGATAACTCGATACTCATTTTTATCTTAATCGATAAATCCCTCAATACCAGCTACTACCTGATGATATTTTGGCCGAGTGTCAAGCGCGCAATATACCTCCATTAACGTTCAATCAATTGGCCGTTATATATAAATTAATTTGGTATCAGGATGGCTACGAGCAGCCATCCGAAGAGGATCTCAAGCGTATTATGGTAAGTAGCATGTCAATAATAATCGATAACTTGGCATTATGTTCCCTTAAACAACACATAAATCTGACAAATAATTTTGTTTAATATGGGAAGTCCCTAAATATAATAATTCAGCTCAAAATTAGGCAAATAGTTTCATGGAAAATTTCAAATAATTTCCTTAAATATAAGGGTATTCCCTAAATATACTTAAATTCAACATACAAATTGACAAATAATATACTGAAACTCAATACATATATCTGGCAAATATCTTGATATTATATATACATATTCCTTTAATTTAATAAAACCCAACGCTTTATTTGAACACTCCCTAAATATACTGAAATTCATCTGATAAAATTGTCATATAATTTTACATTATAAAGGTATTCCCTAAATATACTAGAATTAAATTTTTTTTTAATATTAATGCTACTCCAGCAAATTGATTACAAATTTAATTTATGGCATATATTTTCTCTCCTCCCTTAATCACGCGTGTAGAGTCAACCGGATGAGAATGAGAGTCAGACGGATGTCAGTTTTCGGCACATCACCGAGATAACCATACTCACGGTGCAGTTGATAGTGGAGTTTGCGAAAGGATTACCAGCGTTTACAAAGATACCCCAAGAGGATCAGATCACGTTACTCAAGGTGAGTATCTAGTCGGAATGGAATGAGCCAATCCAATCGATCAACGATATATTTATCGATAACGATAAATCCATATCCATATTTGCAGGCCTGCTCATCGGAAGTGATGATGTTGCGCATGGCCCGACGCTACGATCACAACTCCGACTCGATATTCTTTGCGAACAATCGATCGTACACACGCGACTCGTACAAGATGGCCGGAATGGCGGATAATATTGAGGATCTGCTGCATTTCTGCCGTCAAATGTTCTCAATGAAGGTGGACAATGTGGAATATGCGCTACTCACTGCCATTGTGATCTTCTCCGATCGGCCGGGCCTGGAGAAGGCCCAGCTGGTTGAGGCGATACAGAGCTATTACATCGACACGCTACGCATTTATATACTCAATCGCCATTGCGGCGACTCCATGAGTCTCGTCTTCTACGCCAAACTGCTCTCCATACTCACCGAGCTGCGCACGCTGGGCAACCAGAATGCCGAGATGTGTTTCTCGCTCAAGCTCAAGAATCGCAAGCTGCCCAAGTTTCTTGAAGAGATCTGGGACGTGCATGCCATACCGCCCTCGGTGCAATCCCATCTGCAGGCCCAGCAGGAGGAGCAGGAGCGTCGGGCCGAGCGCATGCGCGGCGCCGTCGGTGGCGCCATCACGGCTGGCCTCGATGCCGATTCGGCGTCCACATCCTCGCAAGCGGCCCTCGCGGCAGCGGCACAACAACAGCAACAGCATCAACAGCAACAGCACCAACAGCTCCATGCGCTGCCCGGCCACACGCTGCCGCTGCCGCTGCCGCTGCCGCCGCCGCCACCGCCAGGCAGCGGCGGCTCCGTGTCAGCAGTTAGCACCAGCAGCGATTACATCGGCGGTGGCGGTGCCATGGGACCCACCACAGCAGCAGCCAGCTCCAGCACCAGCATCACGGCCGCGGTCCCGGCGAGCTCCACAACAGCTGCGGTGGCCAATGGCGGCGGCGCCAATGTCAGCATGTATGCCAATACGCAGACGGCGCTGGCCCTCATGGGCGTGCCCCTCAAATCGGAGCACTCGACGACCACCGCATAGCCCCTGCTGGAAGCCATGGGCATGGGCATGGGCATGGGCGTAGGCGTGGGCGTGGGCGTGGGCAGTCTACTGTTGGGCGGCAGCATTATTGAGTGAATTTCGGGCGGGGCGTGGCAGCTGTATACAACAAACACACACACACACACACACACACACAGACAGGCAGACAGACAGGCAAGCCTGTACCGTTAGGCGCTTTTATAATAGATTCAACCGATTTGTATATAGCCGGAGAAACTGTAAAATTTTGCATATTCAAAATAGTTTTTTTTTTTTACCCAGCTACATAAAAAAACGGCGTGTGGATTTAATAAACAAGTGCGTAACGGCACAGTTGCCTGATCTGATCTATATATATATATATATATCTCACAAGAGATATATGCAGCATGAAAATCTGAGTTAATAGAAGAAGAAAGAAAAACAGAGCAAAACATTTTTGAGTAAGCGTAAAATGCAGTTATTTAGTGTTAAGCCTGCAAATATTAGACCTAAGGCATTATGAATATATACAAAATTATTATAAAACACAAACACAAACACATCTAAAATTATATAACAAACAAATTCTTAACAAAAACAGAGAATGCTTAAAACATAAATAAATAAAAACACATAACAAATTACAAAACTGTAAAAGAAAGTCAAGCAAATGCAAAAGGCATAGAATTTATGCAGTTAAATACAACAACAAAAAATACCTTAAAATATATATATATATATATATATAAATATATATATATATATGCTACAATATATAATTAATAAAAATTGTATTAAATTTTCTTTTGTTAATTTCCAGCCCCGAAAAATCGGACAAAAGCAAATGCTAATTTCTGCTAAATTCAATGCCTGTCAAACGGTCATGCAAAAGAAAATAAAAAACAAAAGAGAATAAAGATTGTTTATATTTTAAAAATATATAAAAAATAAAACAGTAAACTTTATATATAATATTAAAAAAAAACAGAAACAAAAAACAAGCATGTGTATAATATGTAAAACTAACTGTACATCTAATTCAAAAGCAGCGAGTAAATCTGATTTAAACACCTTGAACTATAAACAAAATACTTATTAATTAACAACTAATGACAGCAACTAATCTTAAGTTACACAATTCGCAACCCAACTCTAAACAAAACTAAAACTAAATCTAAACAAAAAACAAAAAAAAAACACGCAAAACTTGGACTGATTTTATAAATATTTTTTTAATCATATTAACTGAGTAAAAAACAACTGTATAAAATGCTAACAAATGTTTAACACAATGAAATGGCTAAAAACGACATTTATTTTAATTATGCCCTCCTTATATATTTTTTTATTAACACAAAAAATGAGAATTTACATTTATTAAGCGCCGTCGTTTTTAATACAATTCACACAGTTACATTTTCTTTTTAATTTTCCTATAAAACAATTGGCGAAATTGTAAAAACTTTGTAAACAACAAAAAAGAAAAAGTGATTGGAGTTTTACTCAAATTTAAAAGGCATTAAAGGTATTAAATTAAAAATTTTAAAAATTGAATTCATTAAACTCACCTTTTGGCTGACAGAAAACAACAACATTTTCAATCACTTGGCACACACATCCACACACACACACACACACACACACCAAAAGACTTCAATATTAATTTATAAATTAAACATTTAAATTCGAAAATTTATAAATACTTGTAAATTATATAGCAATTAAATTTTATTGAAAAAAACCATTTGGCATAATCAAAATTTTGTTTTTAAACAAAAAAAAAAACAATCGTGCAAAATATATATTTTTGGCAATTTTTTTAAACTTATTTGGAATTTGTTTAATGCAATTTAATTAATTTTTTGTATACTTTTTTTTTATCGTTTTTTGCTGATTTTGCTTTTGAATTGTAAAAACGAAAAAAGAGTAAAAAATTGTTGGCCTTATTTTAACTTAAATCAAATTTATTCTAATTTTAGTAGCGATTTGTAAAATACGACAAAAAAAAAATAATAAACACAAACATAAAAAACAAAAAACATATGTAAAATTTAAACAAACCTTTTTTAATTGTGTATAAAAGTGGCAGAGAAATTTTTGAAATGTGCAATTTTTTATTTTTACTACTATTATTATAATTATTATGCTAATTAAATATATATACATATAATTTTCGCATATAGTACACACACACACACACTCACACTGACACATACACATTTAAGTAAATTTAATTTATAAACATTGAATTTTGTATACAACAATTGAAAATAGCAAAGCAACATATATAAAATATAAACAATTAGAACTTAAATGGTTTAAATTCAATTATTTGTTATCTGCACAGTAAAAATGGAAGCAAAAACAACAAAAACACAGTGAATAATTTAACTATTATGCATATAATTAATACAACCTATTAGTGAAAGAAACAACCGAAAAAAAACAAAACATAAACAAAACTCACTCTTAAGTTTCTTTATTATAAATACACTTGATTTTATATTTAAGCTTTTTTTAGTCTGCCTAACGCGCGTTTAATTATTATACATAATTTGTTTTGTAGTTTTACAATAATGTAAAAAAACAACAAGGAAAAGTCTATCTTAATATAAATAATTTTTACTATTTTACGTAAATACGAAAATGGAACAACAACAAAACAAAAATATACACAATATACATGAAAATATGTTGAACAACAAAAAAAAAACCAAGCATAAACAGAAGTGTGTTTTTCTTTTTTATTTTATTATAATTTCTCTGTAATTAATAATTTGCTTTTGAAGAATTGGCAAAAGTTTGAAGTTGAGCGGGAAGGCGATATGTAAGCAAAGACTCGTTAGAATAAGTATCGATAAATCGATAAGTCGATAAATAACGTGCAGAATTTGAATGAAATTCGCATATGCGAAGCAAACGGCTGTGAAGTTGGCTTTTCACCGAATGTGTGTGGTAATAAGAAATTATAATGAAAACGATATTGGAAAAGCAAACTATGAAACTATTTTTTTCTTTCGGAATATAAAAGAAAATTGACAGAATGAGAGTGTGCAGTATTGCGAAACAGCTTGGGTTAAGAAATGGAAATTGACTTTAGTTATTTTTGTAGTAGTCCAAGTTTTAGTTATGCCAATTGGAAAACTAGAAAAACAAAAACAAACAGAAATGATTTTAAAATGGGTGAAACCTTAGAGTAGAGCCCAAGAAAAATAATTGAAACATAAGACGCGCTATAAAATAGCTTTAGATGATACAAAATAATTTGCTAAAAACGTTTTAAGTAATTCATTAATTCTAAATTCTAATATATATATAAAAACATAATGCAAAAAAAAAAAAAAAAAAGTACTTAAACAGGCTGATGTCATGTCAAGTGTGAATAAAATATAAGTTAAGTAACCAAAAAAGTAACCCTAAAAATTAATAATAATACCAATTAAACTCCTCGCGCCCTCGCTAAAACATTTCTTTCAACTTTGATAATACCATAATACACTTATAAATTATCCAAAAAGAAATATGAAATAAAAAGAACCTATACCTAAGCCAAACTGTAAATATGTATGTACGTAACTCTCGCTCGATATGAAGCATTATGACAAGCAACAAATACGAAACATACAAAAAAAGCAACCTGACAAAATTATAAAGATGAACATAAGGTATATAAATAAAGTAACAACTTGTTGAGATATCCATTCATATAATATGACTAACAAAGCATAAGAAACGAAACGAAACGAAAAGAAAAGAAACAAAAAGCAAATCGTTATGTAGATTTTTGAAATTCATGAAAACGAAAATGAAATGATTGAAAAACGAGAAGTTTATTTAATTTTTATGCACTGTTTTCTGTTACGTGTAACTTGTAACTTGTAACTTGTTTTGCCCATAACTACTTACATACCTACTTACGCCTAGAAGATATGTCTATGATCCGGAAAAACGAAAGTAAACCTCCCCCATATTAAGCACACAGCTAAGCCTAAACCTTAAAAGGAAGCAAAATTATACGAGAGTTTTGTGTTCAACTTGTAGATATTGATCCTGAATTGAAAACTACCTCAAACGAAACATTCAAATGAAACACGATTGAAAGGTTTTTGAGCATTAATAATAAACGTAACTACAAGCGAGACCTTAGCAGCAGCAGCTAACCACAAATATACATACATTTAAAGTACATACAATATGAACTTTGTTTTTCCTTCAAGTCTCTAACCAAAGCACAAAAAAACCAAACAATGTCAAAGAAAGCAATTTAATTATCCCAACTTTCAGTTCGATAATATGATAACAAAACTCCTAACGCCTTTTTAGAGGTACCTGTTTTGCAGCACTCGATGGTTAGCAGGTGGCAAATCATAAATCTAAATGAAAATAAATAAAAAAAAAAACAAACAAACAAAGAAATCACACTGCATATTTTTTCACACAAGATTAGTCTCGAAAATATTGAACGAAATTTCTATTGAGCCGATCTTGTGCAAAAATAACAATATTGCTTCTCCAATCACAAAATGTACGCTAAAACGAGTTAAGTTTTAAGTTGTGTAGTTTTCTCACTGCCAAAATTGACAAAACAAAAACCAAAAAAAAACAACATATAAAAATACAAATACAATAAAATATCTAATCATACAGATTTACGTTATTATTAGAGATACAAAAATAGACGAAAATGTCAATATGTCAAATTTCATTTGCAATGTGTAGCAATCAGTAATATACGAACGAGTACATAATTATCTACGATATATAGAATTACCAAAAACACAAGTTCAAGTCTACGATCGATACGAGTAAAAACTAAATACATTTAAAATTTAAAATAACGAGAACGAGAACGAGATGCAGATGCAGATGCAGAAACAACGCACATTATTCCAATGAAGTTAGCTGGATAGATATACTTTTTTGAAACTAGAAGAAGCTGACCCGGAAAAATACAACTTAAAACTGAATTGATGGCATTTTAGTGTTACGAGAAAAAAAAAAAACAAAAAATAATTAAAGCAGTAACAAAAATAATATATATTCAATTACATATTCTAAATAAAAAGCAGACAAACAACACAAGATACGTAAACGGAAACGACAACTTGAAGGGATTTTAAATTAAAAAAACACAAACAAAATCAGCATTTGATAAAACTCTTTTCCCCTAATTGTTATTCTTATTGGTTGGCTCTGAAATTCTATGGTTGAATGTTTTTGATTTAAACGCTACACTGCCAAAAGAAAAACCCTTAAGTTATATATCTTAGCTCCTATTGCAAGCAGCAAGTCTTATAGAGATAGGTTATAAAGTTGGAAGGAATCTGGCGCGTGCCTGCTTTAAGTATCAACACGTTTTTAATTTGGCAAGTTTTCGAGTTTTGTTTATTGCTTTTTACGATTTTCGAAAGCCGTATTTAATTAAAATGAGAGAGATGTAGAGATTGTTAGAATTTAAACCGAACAAACAATTACAAAATGCATACTTAATTATGATTATATATGATTATACTTATTATCAAGCATATAAAATATTTGGTACACTAACACAAGAGGTTAGCTTGTTGTTTATTGAGAACTTAAGGTGCATTGATCTATCTACATAGACATACTTATACTTATACTTGCCTACTCGTAAGTACATCTATCAAACTGACATTTAGTTTTGAACTTTCATTACTTTCATTCAAATCAACAATTATGTATTGCTAAAACAAAACAAACAAATAACACTTGAACTTAAACGAAAAATTACAAAACCAAAAAAAAAAAACAACTTTTATACTTCGAGTATAACTTGACTTAAGTTTCAGAAAAGGTATATATATATATATACATTAACAGATATGTACAAGTTAATGTAGTTTGCTATTTATGTGTAACTTTTGGGCGATCGAGTGGCAGCGCATTAACTAAAACTGAGTAATATGCAAGTCTACGGCGCATATAAATACATTTTTGAAATTAATTACATACATTAAAGATCTACATAGGCTTAGAGACTACACAGACACTTTAAATAGTTTTAAAACTAAGCTGTACATATACGTATAAATATAATATAATAACAAAAGTCTATATATACGATATATATGAAACGTGTAATAAAATAAAAAATATATATATATATATTTAAAATATGTTCAAACGATTTGCAAGTTTTCAATTTGAATTTTTAAATCTGTCTGGTTTTGCGCTAACATATCGATTTATCGAAGCTCCAAAGATCGAGTCTGTTAGCAACATTTCGTTGCTACTCACTCAGCAACCTAACAGCAATCTGGCAGCACTGTTTGCAATGTATCGATATATCGATATTAATTACTGCCATATCTACATCCCATTTTAGACGCCGCACTGTAAGACAATAAAATTGAAATAAAGCCTACAAATAGTTAAATAAAAGGTAAATATGCCAAAAACAGGCAATATAAGTTGCGCATATGCAATTGCAATATACCAGAATATGGCTATATATGCCCTTGTTGTATACTGTGTCGCAGACAACACGTAAGCGTTTTTCATACGGCTGGCGGAGGCGGCAAGATGGCGGCATTTAGTGTTCTGTGTAAAAAAAAAACAATCAATGTTAACATTGTTGGCCTATTTATTGAATTCTTGCATGAATAAGGCTTGTTTTAAGTAAGCCTTCTGCTTAGCTATGGCTGATTATACTAGGAGCCAAATCGAGTTTGAGGTTATGTCGGTGGCAAAAGTGAAACAAGTCAATATGCAGCTTTCACTTGATAATTGATAATTAATGCTGTTCTGCTTGTTTTGCAGACAACCACCAATGGCTGATTCGGATGATGAATACGATCGCAAGCGGCGTGATAAATTCCGCGGCGAACGCGACAGCTACAGGCCCGAACGGCGGGACGAACGTCGACCTATGGGCGGTGGTGCCAATTCCCGGGACGAGTGGTCCGAGCGGTAAGTAATGTGTGGTCTCTCGGTGTGTGTGTGTTGCAGCACTTAAACATATGCTCTGCTCTGCTCGCTAGGAATCCATTTCGAGGCAGTTCGGCTGCAGGTGGTGGTGGCGGTGGCGGCGGCGGTGCACGTCATCGCCCAGATTACAGTGAGTATCGTGGCTCCGGACCACGTCCGCGCTACGGCTCGCCGGGACGAGAGATGCCGCCTGCGAAACGCATGCGACCTGACTGGGGCGACAGCGAAATGAGGTCTAATCCACGCTTTGGTAAGTTTAGAAAAAATGTTACTCCTCAGCTCTATATGGTATTTGTGCCCATGCAGGCTACGATCCGTACCTAGTGCAGGCCTGGAATGATCACTATCAATCGCTGCACTCGGCCTACTCTCATTCGGGTCATCCGTCCTCGGCCCGTGAATCAGCGCCCAATGTCGTCAACAGCGACACACAAACACAGCCAGCGATGCTAACGTTAAAACAATTTCTGGACACGCAGGACGAGAACATATCTGACTCGGAAGTGATGCGAAAGTACACCGAATACAAGACGGACTTTAAGCGACAGCAGTTAAACGAGTTCTTTGTGGCGCACAAGGATGAGGAATGGTGAGTAGCAGCGGGTCTTGAGTACCCAAGAAAAATGACAACAACAACAACGCGCAAAGAGCAACCGCATCCAACGCAGTGGCAGGCTCTGAAGAGGTCCGTCCTAAACTTCACATTCCAATTAATTTGTTCTTAAAATTTTAATTTAATTGCAAATTAACTCTCAGCGTGACTGCAATCACAAAATTCATAACCCTCTTGTATACTTATTATTAAGTTTTTCTCTGCAGCTTTTTATGGGTTTTATGGCGTTTTGCGAACTGAGAGTCAGAGACGAGACGAGACACTGATTCGGCCTCAGCCTTTGCCTCTCTGCCTCTGTCTCAATAGAAGCACATACTATATAAAAATGAAAGAATAACTTAAAATTTAAATTACCCGGCGAGCAATGCCGTGGGTGTGTTTATATTTTTGAAACCGCGATCTATTTAAATTCGTTGCGAGCAAATGCCTAAATATATATAAACGTATGCACATAGCGCATATACATATACACATTATGAATGCGCTTGCAAAGGTAAGACCTTGGGTAATATGTACATATGCAACAGCTAAACCTAAACAAAATTCAAATCAAACTGTGTACGACTAATTAAATACTTGGATGTCCACTAGCCAGAGGATGCGCCGGAATTTATGTCTACAAACTTGCTATATATATCAAATATAGAGTCACTCATGAGCCGTACTTTCAACTCTTATTAATATTATATAGCATATTTGACATACCTGGCCAAGAAACGTTTGATTTTAAACTGAATTTTGTCTTTCACAGGTTCAAAAACAAATACCATCCCGAAGACAGTGTGCGACGCAGCGAGGAGCAACGCGGCTTTTTGAAGGTAACTCGCGAGTGGCTTTATTATATGTATATATGTAAATATCTCGATGTATATTGCATGCGTTAACAGAGACGCACCGATGTATTTCTGGAACTACTCGAGAACGGCACTATTGGCAGCGTCAAGGTGGATTCCTCGCAGGCGGATGCTTTGGTGCGAGTCCTGGACACTTGTGTGATTAAACTGGAAGGCGGCACCGATGAAGATCTTAAGATACTCGACGAAAAGCCCAAAGATACGCCAGTTGTATATGAGCGCAAATCAGAATCGACAGAAGCCACAGTTGTCGCCAAGCGAGAGCCTGAAAGTCCCAACCAGACCAAATCTGAGAAAGGCGCTGATGAGGTTCTGCCAGTGGTTGTGTCGCCGCAGCGCAAGAGCCTGCGGCCTGCTAACTCCGATGAGGAGAACTGGGATGATGAGAACGATGAGATGGCTGCGGTCCCAGAGGCAGCTAAAATCGAGCAGCAAACAGAAATAGTGACTGCAAAGCCGGCCAAAGAGCAAGGCGATGATGACTCGGTTAAAAGCGGCAGCGATAAAAAGTTAAAGAAGAAAAAAATCAAGAAACGAAATCGCAACAGCAGCGACGATGATAGCTCATCTTCATCCAGTTTCGAGTCGGACACGGACTCAGACGATGAGAAGCTGAAAGCGAAATATGATGTGGAGGAGGGTTTGCGCGCCGATCAAAAAGCAGAGGCACAAAAAGACAAAGAGGAGGCAGCAACGGTCGCCAAAGCCAATCAGCTGCCACCCGACAGTCCCCAACCTGAGAGCGGCACTGCTCTCAAGGATGCGGCAGTTATCAAAAGTGAACTGAGCGAAGAGCAGCAGGAAAAAGATACGGAGCAGCCAGCGGAGCTGCAAACGGACGAGTCAGCAGCAGCTGAAAATGGGGAGGAGGCAGAGAAAACAGACAAAACCGAGCTGGAGACGAAATCAACAGCGGATGATGTGACCGAGACAATCGATTTGGACAAGGTAAAGGACGGATCACAGCCACGTGCATTGCATCGCACCTCGTCCATTTTCCTACGCAATTTGGCGCCGTCAATAACGAAGGCAGAAATCGAAGCGATTTGCACCCGCTTTAGTGGGTATTTGCGCGTGGCCATTGCCGATCCGCTGGTGGAGCGACGCTGGTATCGCCGCGGCTGGATAACATTTACGCGCGACGTTAACATCAAGGAGATCTGTTGGAGCCTGAACAATCAGCGTTTGCGCGACTGCGAAATGGGCGCCATTGTCAATCGGGATTTGAGTCGACGTGTGCGTCCCGCCAATGGCATCACAGCGCACAAGCAGATTGTTCGCGCTGACATCAAGCTGTGCGCAAAGATTGCCATGAATCTGGATGAACGTTTTAAGCTATGGAGCGAGGCAGACCCCTCGCAGCAGCAGCCGGATACGGCAAGCAAGCCCAGCGCGGAGGCAACCAATGGCAGCGGCGGCAATTCGACCACATATGGCTTCAACTCCAAAAATCCGGTGCTTCAAAACATAACCGATTACCTCATCGAAGAAGCCTCTGCTGAGGAGGAGGAACTGTTGGGCTTGGCCGGCGATAACAAAGATGGCGAGGGCGAGCCCATTGAACGGGATGAGCAGCTAATTTTGGTTCTGGATCGTCTGGTGCTCTATTTGCGCATTGTGCACTCGGTGGACTACTATAATCACTGCGAATATCCGTACGAGGATGAGATGCCAAATCGCTGCGGTATCATACACGCACGTGGTCCACCGCCTATGCGTGTCACCAGCAACGATGTCCAGGAATACATCAAGGCCTACGACGGTAAGCTGCAGCAGTTTTTAACCAAGAGCGTTCAGCTGAGCGATGATGAAATCAAAGAGCTGGGTGCCAAGAATCCCGAATCCGAGGTGGAGAAATTCGTGCAGGCCAATACACAGGAACTGGCCAAGGATAAGTGGCTGTGCCCTCTGTCGGGCAAAAAGTTCAAGGGTCCCGAGTTCATACGCAAGCACATCTTCAACAAGCACGACGAGAAGGTGGACGAGGTGCGCAAGGAGGTGCAATATTTCAACAATTACTTGCGTGACCCCAAGCGGCCACAGCTGCCCGAGCATCCGGGCAGCTCCAAGCGTACTGAATCAGAGTCTGGACGTGGTGCCGGCGGGTGAGTAGGCTAAAATATATAAAACTGTTTATGCACTATAAAATGTTTTTTGCTTCTGCAGCTATCGGCCGCCCATGTATCCCCCCTTCTCAGCTATGCCCTACGGATTTGCACCGCCCATGATGGGCGGCGGTGGACGCGGCGGACGCAATTTTCCTCCAGTGCGCAGGTCAGTTGCTTTATTTATTTGCATAGCCTTAAGTCCGTTAGGGAATTCAGCCCTACGCAGGTTGAATCAGAAGGGAGCTGAACTCAAAAGGCTTGACAGCAGCCGCTTAGCTCCTGACTCTAGAGGAGAATTGGATGTATATTAACCTTTGTCTATGTCTGTCTTACAAACCGGTTTATAAATCGGTTCATGGTTCTTGCTTTTTGCATCCTTCACGATCCTCGATATACCTTCGTGCCTTTAATAAAACCAACAGTTATTAAATTTAGGCTTATATGTGATATGTATATATATATCTATATATATAAATATTTTTATTTCATGAAATGTTTGTTTTTGGCAAACTGCAAATCTATTAAAAATTCATTCATATTGCTGGCTTTTTAGCAATCATGTCCCAGTAACAGTGGCCATAACGTTGTCTGAGCTTAAAATATAATTATACATAGACCGCCTGCTCAATGCTTTAATTTTGTAATTATTATCAAGACGGAAATTCGAAATCGTATTTTAGGAGTAGGTTGAACCATATTCAGAGACTTGCTTCTCTTGTTGTGCAAGCAGACAAGGTTTTTCTTAATTCATTTTTCTAACACACCCACAGCATTAGCCTGATAAAAAACCCTAGTGTATTTGTCCTAAATTTTCTATATGCCTTCTATAATTTTGCTTTCATTTTTGTTGTTGGTCTTAAAACGAAATTTGTCACAACTTTCTTGTGTCGCAAATTTTTTGCAGAGAAATGCCCTTGGAACACCAACGCCGGCTTATCGGTTACCATGATTTGGATGCGCCCGTTAATTCCGATATGTTTGACTAATTAATTGATTAGCACAAAAAGCAGAAACCACACACAGATAATAAACGCTAAATACAATTTTCAAGCTCAGTTCTAAAAAGCAATTTAAGCAATGCCTAGCTAATGGGGACCTACAAAAAACTAAATGCAAATTATTACATAAATTATGTGTAAAGATATTTATTTTTATCTTTGTACAATATGCCGATTGTAAAAAATGAATACCCCAAAGGACCTAATTAAAGATTTTAATTTTTCAATTAATAAAATATCGATTCTGATGCTTTCAATTATGCAACCGCAAACTTTCGACGAATTACAATAAATGTTTGGTTTTACTATATAAGATTTGTGTACAAATAATTCCTTACTCTAAACAACATTCATTCTCGTTGCTTGCAGACCCGGTGGTTTTGATTATCGCGCCAGATCACACTACCGGGACTTGGACGCGCCCCAAGAGCCGTACTAAGATAATGCCCCACACAATAGACTATAAATTATATTAGTGTATAATAAACAAAGCTCACGCATTGAACAAATAATAATCGAACAGAGATTTCTAAAGACATTTCTTAACCATCTTGAAACTTAAATTATTAAAACACAAAAAAGAAAACTGAAAAGAAGAAAAACCGTTTTTAACGTCAGATGTTTTGCATGGTTCTAATCTACGCTAATTGTTTTGTATTGCTTGGAGAAAAAAGAAAAACTAAATAAAAGTTGTTTGTCATCATGGAATTTTTAATTTTAATAAAAGATAACTGTTTAAATTGAAGTTCTATATTATAATATTGATATGATATCATTTGTTAAAGATCATGCTACTTATATGCTCAATGAGTCCTCTATATGGTACTCTGTGGTACCACTATAGAATAATGGCCTTATATAGATAAGATCATCTTGTAGATAGGTGGATGCTCCTGATATATTTTCATTTATTGAGTAATCATATAAAACACAGAAATTAATATTATTTCCAATTCCTTAGAAGTAAGCCATAAACTATTTGTGTACTTAAGCTTAATTTATATATGTTTATATATACTATATGATTATAGAAACAGGCGTAGCAGCCATCTGACAATGGCAATAGCAACACATAAAAGGCTGAATTGCAAGAGTCGATGAAGTATAAGAAACCTGAAATTAAAAATAAGTTCATTTCATAAATGATACATATATCGACCTAATTTAAAGCCGAAGCTCTCCACGTACCGTTTCATTTTCTTACGACCGAGCTCTATAGACTCTTTAGTTGGTTCCTCCTTGCAGAGATAAATGCGCATGCCGAACAAGGCGCGATCAAAATAACTATTCCAATCGAGGGATTTCATATCGAACTCAAAGAGCTGCTGATCCACTGCAGACATAGATTTCCACAGCCGATCCGTGTTGTGAGTCTCAAAGCTCCAGTTGTTGATCATAAAGTGTTGGACTGCATCGATATTCCTGTGGATCTTCTCGTATATAGCCACCATGCGTGGCTTCTGCCCGCGCAGGCGCAGATATAGATCAATGATGTAGGCGGGCAGCAGATGATAAAAGATGGTTGCCAATTTAAAGAGCCAGGGTATGGTGGTGGTGTGCAGGAACGGATACCACATCACCTTCGTCATGGGAAAAACGTGACGTTTTCTTTTCACAGCGCCTATGAATTCCCTATTATTAATTACGTTTTCAGCGCTGGGTGCATAGTTGTATATGACAGGGGGGCTTTCAATGACCTGTTCTTTGCGCTGTGCCGCCTCGATGGCCGTGCGCCAGGCACAGGACAGCACCAGATTGGCACAGCCGTCCACGGGTACAATGTTGGATTCACCATTCAGATTGAGGGGGGCGACACGTAAAATACCATATGAGACGCCATAAAGTATAGCAATGGGTCCGTATATATTGTCTATCCAGCCGGAAACAGGCTCCTTATTGCTCGCCACAACTGAGAAGTTGGGAAAAAGGATCATTAACAATAAACATGAGAGAATAAACTAGTTCAACCTACTGGAAGCTGGACGAAAGATGCACACCGGCAAATCCCCCGCCTCCGTCTGGACCAACTGCTCGGCCAGAGCCTTTGTATAGGTGTATGTATTGGGAAACCTGTCGAGCAGCACGGGAGCCATCTTATCGAACAAATCCGTGTCCTTTCCCAGCATTTGCCTTAGTGCCAACACCTTTTCAGCGCTGCAGCTCAAGTGCTCCGGATAATAGCGTTCCGTATTGTGGTGGATCACACAGTTGGAAAAGGCCGTGGATACGTGCACGAATGCCACTAAACGGTGCATCTGCTTGGCCAGCTGCAGCATCTGGTGAGTGGCACGCGTATTGATGTCCAATGCCACATGCAGCGGCTCTGTAAAGTTGACAGTTGCCGCGCCGTGCAACACCAGCTCCACCTGCTGCGTCAGCAGATCGCGATCCGTCGGGCTGATGCCCAGATCAGGCTCCTTGCAGTCCCCCTCTATGGCCACCACGCGCTCCAATATGTTCGGCTTGGCTTTGAGTAGCACCTCAAAAAGCTATGGAGTAGGAGGCTATGTTACTCGGCTCTGCTCGGCTGTGGCTACTCACGGGATTGGTTTTCCATCCGGCAATGCGCTCCTGTGTGTCCTTGCCACGTTTTGGTCTTATCAATACATAGATGCGCTTTACCTCTGTTGCACGCAGTAATTTCTCAATGGTAGCTGAAAGAAAATAATTTTTCTGGACTATAAACCCTGACCCAACGTTTCGAACTCGAACCGAACCATTAAAGTATTCAAATAATGCAGCACTTTGCAAAGCTCATTATACCCTTGCAGAGGGTATTATAATTTTGTCGTGAAATGTGTAACGCATAGAAGGAGACATCTGAGACCCCATAAAGAATATATATATTCTTGATCAGTATCAACAGCCGAGTCGATATAGCCATGTCCGTCTGTCTGTTTCCATGCGAACTAGTTTCTCAGTTTTAAATCTATATTTATGAACCTTTGCAGAAGTCCGTCTTTCTGTTGCACGCAGTACATATGTCAAAACCAGCTGGATCGGACCACTATATCATATAGCTGCCATAGGAACGACCAGTGGAAAAGTAGGTTCTTGTATGAACAAAATTTTTGTTTATCAAGATATCTTGATCAAACTCGGCATTTATTAGTTTTATTATGCCCCTCGTATATGTATATGCAAAATCCTATCAACATTGGACCACTATATTATATAGCTGCCATAAGAACGATCGGTCGAAAATTAAGTTGTTGTATGGGAAACTTTTTTGTTTTTCAAGATATCTTAACCATACTCGGCATTAACTATTTTCGCTGTGCTTCTTAGATACGGGCAAAGCACTATGAGCATTATGAAAAGATTGGGTCTGCAAGGGTATTAAATCTTCGGCTTGCTGAAGATAGCCCTTCTTTATCGTTTTATTTAAATATTGATGTGAAATGCGTTAGAGAAGAAAAGCCACAACATATTTTATAATACCTCCTCCCAAAAATCCACTAGCACCGGTTAAAAAAATCGTTTTGTCTTCAAAAAACTTCGTAATTTCGGATTCCATTTTAAATTATGTTCTTTACACTTTTCTCGAAATTTAACACAGAACTGCGGGATTTTCAAGGAAACTGATATCAGATTTAAGAGTCGACGTTGAAATGGCAAGTTTTAGATATTTGCCGAACCTTTTATAGACGCCAAACGCTAAATTCATTCCTAGACTTTAGAGCCTGAGTTCATGAATATTAATAAAGCAGCTAAAGTCATGTATAAAAAAAGTGTAGTTTAACTTGATGTTTGCTCGAGCTGATATAACGGCTCTGACTAGTCTCTTGAATTTAAGCACTGGAATATGTGTCTGGTTTAGAAATTCCAATATTATTGACCTCAATCAGAAAATTTGATAACATTCAAAATAATTCAAGTAAATTCGGCATGACATTGAAATTCCAACCCGATTGTCGGGGACACTGGAATTTCCTATACCCTGAGCCCACTCAAAGTGTGTTAAAAGGGTAGTATGGTTTTGTGCCCATGTATGTATCAGACAAAAGGAAACATCTTCGACTCTATAAAGTATATATATTCTTGGTCAGTACCAATAGCCGTGTCGACCAAGCCATGTCGTCCGTCCGTCCATCCGTATTAATGATCGCAGAAATCTCAGAACCTATAATAACTAGAGACCTGAAATTTTAGTAGTACGAGTTTATTTCCCCGTATATAGTTTACACAGATCAAGTTGCTTTCATTTTAGCTATCGTCACCCGCGAGCCTCTCCGCATAACTATAAATCAAATAAATAAATCTATTGAAGTACCCACCAATTTAAGCGATAATTTCTTATGTATTTTTTGATAATATAGAAATATCTTATAGCATAATAGCAAAAACTGCTGAAAAAATCATCAATATCAGTTAAGAAACATTTAAGTTATTAAAGAAAACGTGTTATTATATTGGCAAGTCACGTGGCTGCAAGTGCATAGCGCAGGAATTTCTGTATACATAGGATATACATATAAAATAAAAATATGATTAAAGTTATATCAACCATCTTACAATGCCAATGCCAACGCAGGAAAGGCTGAACTGCAAGAACCGATGGAGTATAAGAAAACTGAAAGTTTAAATAAGTTAAGTTAAATGATACATATATCGTCCTCATTTTAAGCAGAAGCTCTCCACGTACCGTTTCATTTTCTTACGACCGAGCTCTATAGACTCTTTAGTTGGATCCTCCTTGCACAGATAGGTGCGCATGCCTAACAAAGCCCGCTGAAAATAACTATTCCAATTCAGGGATTTCATATCGAACTCAAAGAGCTGCTGATCCACTGCGGACATAGATTCCCACAGCCGATCCGTGCTAAGTGTCTCAAAGCTCCAGTTGTTGATCATAAAGTGCTGGATCACATCCATATTCCTGTGGATCTTCTGGTAAATGGCCACCATGCGTGGCTTCTGACCGCGCAGGCGCAGATATAGATCAACCATGTAGGCGGGCAGCAGATGATAAAAGATGGTTGCCAATTTAAAGAGCCAGGGTATGTTGGTGGAGTGCAGGAAGGGGTACCATTTTGCCTGGGCTATGGGATAATCGTGTCGGCTCTTTTAGAACTCGGCCTTGAATTCCTCATAAATTTTTACGTTCTCGTCGCTGGGTGCATAGTTGTATATGCTCTGTTCCTTGCGCTGAACCGGCTCCACTGCCGTGCGCCAGGCACATGACAGCACCAGATTGGCACAACCGTCCACGGGCACAATGTTGGACTTAGCTTTCAAATTAACAGGTGCGACACGTAAAACACCATATAGAGCTCCATGGAGTATAGCAATGGGTCCGTAGATGTTGTCTACCCAGCCGGAAATAGGCTCCTTATTGGTCGCCACAACTAAACAATTGGGTAAAAGCAGCATTTACATTGGGATCGAGTAGATTAACTAGTGCTACCTACTGGAAACTGGACGAAAGATGCATACCGGCAAATCCCCCGCCTCTGTCTGGACCAACTGCTCGGCCAGAGCCTTTGTATAGGTGTATGTATTGGGAAACCTGTCGAGCAGCACGGGAGCCATCTTATCGAACAAATCCGTGTCCTTTCCCAGCATTTGCCTTAGTGCCAACACCTTTTCAGCGCTGCAGCTCAAGTGCTCCGGATAATAGCGTTCCGTATTGTGGTGGATCACACAGTTGGAAAAGGCCGTGGATACGTGCACGAATGCCACTAAACGGTGCATCTGCTTGGCCAGCTGCAGCATCTGGTGAGTGGCACGCGTATTGATGTCCAATGCCACATGCAGCGGCTCTGTAAAGTTGACAGTTGCCGCGCCGTGCAACACCAGCTCCACCTGCTGCGTCAGCAGATCGCGATCCGTCGGGCTGATGCCCAGATCAGGCTCCTTGCAGTCCCCCTCTATGGCCACCACGCGCTCAAATATGTTCGGCTTGGCTTTGAGTAGCACTTCAATAATCTATGGAGGCTATGTTACTCGGCTCTGCTCGGCTGTGGCTACTCACGGGATTGGTTTTCCATCCGGCAATGCGCTCTTGTGTGTCCTTGCCACGTTTGGGTCTTATCAACACATAAATACGCTTTACTTCTGTTGCACGCAGAAGTTTCTCAATAATAACTGAAGAAGAGTAATGTTTTCTAAATTTTAGACCATGAACCTAATGTTTCGAAGTCGAACCGAATCATTATTGTCAAAAGCCTTAATTATATCCCATTGTGCGCTAAGTTCTCTAAGAAAAAAACTCATTATACCTCTTCCTAAAAATCCACTGGCACCAATTAAAAAAATCGTTTTGTCTTCATAAAATTTCTTAATTTCGGATTCCATTTTAAATGTAGTTTTCCCGAATTTGAAACGAAACTGCGGGATTTTGAAGGAAATTGATATCAGATTTGAGAGTCGGCGTTGAAATGACAAGTTTTAAATATTTGCAGAACCTTTTATAGAAGCGAAACGCCAAATTCATTCCCAGGCCTCAGAGCCTGAGTTCATGAATATTAATAAAGCAGATGAAGTCATGTTTAAAAAAAGTGTAGTTCAACCTTATGTTTCCTTGTGCTGATATAGTAAACACGTCTCTGACTAGACTCATGAATTTAGGCACTGGAATATGTGTCTGGTTTAGAAATTCCAATAATATTAACCTCAATCAGAAAATTTGATAAGTTTCAAAGCGATTCAAGTAAATTCGCATGTGACATAGAAATTTCAACCCAATTCCAATTCGCGGTGACGCAGCGATTTTTTTTTTTTTTTGGGTGTTTTAAATTATGTAACGAATAACGTGAAGGAGCGGATGGGCAATTAACCAAGCCGGAGTACGCGCCGGCATCGGCTGTGACTGGTCGGCATGCGGGTGGGTTCACTAAGTCCGCTGGTTAATATGCTCCCAAAGTTATAAATCTATTTCATTACAATTCGCATACTGAATAGTGAAGAGGGAGAGGAGGAGTACGGGCTAGGGGGTACAAGACTAGAAAGAAATATGTTAGGCCAGTTATAACAGGCTCTTCATATAATCGGCCCACTCAGATGCACTGCTCTTGACGTACATATATGTATATTGGCAGGATCCCTACAGATAGTCTTGTTCTGACTAAATCAGCTCCCTTAGGCGATGCATGGTTCCCAAAAAGACAAACATTTACTCAGACATAATGATTTATTCTAGGTTGACATGTTTTTAATATAATTCCTACACATTGATTGGCACCAAACATATTTTTGGCAAGTGAAAATAGCGGCTGTAACAGAGGTTTATATTACAAAAAAATAATTAAAAATATATAAATATAAATATATGAGCATTCATAAAAGCATAATATATATAAAAAATTTGAAGAGAATATGTTTAGCTTATATTATATATTTATATTCAATATTATCTATGCTGCAAGCTGTGTAAGTTCTCCAGCTATTATGTATGTATTAATGTATTGTGCCAGACTTAGGTCGACATCCCACGCAGAAAGATCTTTCGGTGTGTGTGTGCGTGTTTGTGTGTGTGTGTGATCGCTAAGCTGTGAGAAAAATTAAGTTTTTGTGCATGACTGAGAGCTGATTGATATGTCACGACAAAACATCAACAACAATCGTATGCCAGCACAATATTCGAATAATTAATTTGATGGCGATGGCGTTATCCTTTAATTTGTAAGTTGAAAGGAGGATTGAGTTTAAACCCTCTTTTTGTGATTATTATTATTTATGTTCTTTAGGTAGGTGGTGAACTAGATTTAGAAATTAAGTTTCTTAAGTAATTTTGTTTTTTTATCTTCTTTCCACTTAATTGCCACTTGCACTATTTTACAACTATACAGTAACTTTCAAACTTTCAAACTTGCTAATTAACTAACTAGGACAAATTAACAATAATATAGGTTATATTATTCTACACCCGATATTGTCGGGATGCTACTTAGGTTAGGGGTTTAATAAAATAAACAAAAACAAAAACAAGCTCTTTGATTTTGGCCGTTTTAATTATGACGTAGTCGGGTGAGTTTAAACCTTTGACAAGCAGCTGTTTGGTGCATTTTTTAGCGTTAGTGACTTGATAGTTCGAATTTGAATCTTATACATAGGTCTAAAGAGACAAAAACATTTCCCGAAATCAGACAAAGGCATAATTAAAACTGAAAATATTTACCCTTCTTTTTAAAGGAATTGGCACTGAGAAAGCAAAGGCCTTTATCCTTCACCACGTATATGTAGATCGAAATGTAGTGGGGCTTATGTGCACTGAGGAAAAATTATAAAGTCTTATTGTCACTTACAGCAGCGTTATTTTAGCAATCGTAATACTTGTATTCACTTTAGTTTATATTTTGTTATATACTTGTCCTATTTTTTTGCGATGTTTAAACGCGCAGAGCTTATCTCTTTGAGATCCACGAGGAGAAAGCAAACCCACACTTTACAAAGGAGGCTTAGTTTTTCGGATATCTTTATTTCCTTATTCTAGGTAATTGTCTGAAACTCACCGATAGATGGCGCTGCCCATCCATAGTTATTGCATACACATAAAGTTACTTTGAGCCATAAGAAAAAAAACTAAATTATCTATATATGTATATTTCTTTTTCAAATGTAAGTGTTCATTTTTATTAGTAATTTTTCAAGCAAAGCTTATTAACGCTAGTAGAATAATATTCTACTGCCTACTTTTAGGTACCTTGAAAATTTATTTTCAAGCGACATATTACAATTTCTCAAGTCTAGTTAAGAGATTTGTTCGAAAACAAAGTTTTTATTGAATTGAACAACACATGCTGAAATATAATTCAAATTAAGGACAAACGTTTTAATTCTCAAAGCATGCTGTATATCTCTATATATAAAACTGTTTGTCCTGACTGACTGACTGACTGACTGACTGACTGACTGATTGGTGATCAACGCACAGCCCAAACCGTAAGAGCTAGGAAGCTGAAATTTTCACTGTAGCTACCTTATGTGATGTAGGTGCACGTTAAGACGGGGTTTCGGGAAATTCCACCCGCAAGTGTGCAAAAATCGCGAAAAACGTTTGTATGTAACTTTTTTGTTTACCATCCGATCAGCCTCAAATTTATATTTAAAGGTCTTTGTTCAAATTTGGTGGGTGACGTTTCGCCCTAAAATTTATTTCCAAGTATCTATATGAAAATTCATTTGAGACGTGTTTTTCACTTTTCGCAGAATTCAAACTTCTTCGGGGGGAATGCGATTCAAAGATTTTTTGGGCGAAGTTTTAAGTTGTGTCCGATTTGCTTCAAACTTATTTTCAAAGCTCTACATAAGAACTTAATAAATACGTATCTCAGCGATTTGGGAAATTCCAGCTTTGGTGGGTGACGTTTCGCGCTCAAATTCGTTTCCAAAGATCTATAAGAAAAATCATTTGAGACGTGTTTCCTTCGGTGGAAAATGCATTTCAAAGTTTTTTTTGGCGAATTTTAGGTTTGTTTGATTCCCGTCCGATTAGTTTCAAAATCATTTTCAAAGCTTTTTGAAAACATTGATTTTATAACATACGTGCCACGGGCAAGGCCGGGTTATACCCGCTAGTACCTTATATATCTGTTTTTTGAAAGGTAACTTGTGCAGGTGGGCCTATTCCCGTAGAGCAGTCACATTGCATCGTTTGTTGTTTCGAAAAGATAAATCCGAAGATTAAAAATCTCTTAAAGTTCATTGTCCCAGACGGATTTTTGGGGATTTGAAATCTGTTAGATTATAAATCCTTGCAAAGTTAGGAGCTTCGGAGATGTTCCAGTAAAGTATATAAATTCCTTAACAATATCGATAGCCGAGTCGTCTATAAGAACTAGGCCCTTAATTTGAAAGCTATCTTTCTGGAGCCTAGCATACGTCCGTGTTTTTAGTGCACATGTATTTGTTGATGACCGTTAAATAGAGAGTATTGCGCAGTTGGTTACAGCCGACTGCAACCTTCATGTTTATTTTTGAAATTGCAAGATTAGTTCCATTCAAGCACGCCAATCGTCGTGGTGCATTCACATAAATATCTATCCTATATACACTAAAGAGTTTGTCCAGACAGACGGACTCCATCGCCATATGGCCCAGCTTCCTTTAAGGTCGAAAATGAGACGGGGCCTTAGAATATTCGACTTCAAAGAGGGTTAATGTTTGTATGAAAGCGTTGGACTTTCAAATAATTTACAATTTTAAAATTTGTTTATTTAATTTATTGAACATTCAAAAAGCAATAAAAATAGATTTAAAATATGATTACAGGCTTAGCAGCCATTTTACAAGGTTAAACTGCAAGAGTCGATGAAGTATAAAAAAACTGAAAGCAAAAATAAGATAAGTTCTTATAAATCTTCTCATTTGAAAACCAAAGTTCTCCACATACCATTTAATGGACTTAATGGACTCCTCACTTGAATCCTTTCTGCATAGATAGGTGCGCAGGCCGAAAAATAAGCGATCAAAATAGCTGTCCCAGTCCAGGGATTGCATATCGAAGTCAAAGAGCTGCTGATCCGCTGCAGACATAGATTCCCACAGCCGATCCGTATTAAATGTCTCAAAGCTCCAGTTGTTGATCATAAAGTGCTGGATCACATCCATATTCCTGTGGATCTTCTGGTAAATGGCCACCATGCGTGGCTTCTGACCGCGCAGGCGCAGATATAGATCAATGATGTAGGCGGGCAGCAGATGATAAAAGATTGCTGCCAATTTGAACAGCCTGGGTTTGGTTGTGGCGTGCATGAAGGGGTACAATTTCGCCAGGGTTACGGGAAAAATGTGACGTTTTCTTTTCACGGCGCCTATGATATACGCATTATTAACTACATTTTCACCGCTAGGCGCAAAGTTGTAAATGACGGGAGGGTTTCCAGTGATCTGTTCTTTGCGCTGAGCCGCCTCCATGGCCGTGCGCCAGGCACAGGACAGCACCAGATTGGCACACCCGTCCACGGGTACAATGTTGGATTCAGCATTCACATTGACCGGGACAACACGTAAAACACCATATACCATGCCGCGGATTACAGCAAGCGGTCCGTACATGTTATCCATCCAGCCGGAAATAGGCTCCTTATTGGTCGCCCCAACTGAGCAATTGGGAAAAAGGATCATTAACAATAAACATGAGAGGATAAACTAGTGCAACCTACTGGAAGCTGGCCGAAAGATGCACACCGGCAAATCCCCCGCCTCCGTCTGGACCAACTGCTCTGCCAGAGCCTTTGTATAGGTGTATGTATTGGGAAACCTGTCGAGCAGCACGGGAGCCATCTTATCGAACAAATCCGTGTCCTTTCCCAGCATTTGCCTTAGTGCCAACACCTTTTCAGCGCTGCAGCTCAAGTGCTCCGGATAATAGCGTTCCGTATTGTGGTGGATCACACAGTTGGAAAAGGCCGTGGATACGTGCACGAATGCCACTAAACGGTGCATCTGCTTGGCCAGCTGCAGCATCTGGTGAGTGGCACGCGTATTGATGTCCAATGCCACATGCAGCGGCTCCGCAAAGTTGACAGTTGCCGCGCGATCAGCAGATCGCGATCCGTTGGGCTGATGCCCAGATCAGGCTCCTTGCAGTCCCCCTCTATGGCCACCACGCGCTCCAATATGTTCGGCTTGGCTTTGAGTAGCACCTCAAAAAGCTATGGAGTAGGAGGCTATGTTACTCGACTCTGTTCGGCTGTGGCTACTCACGGGATTGGTTTTCTATCCGGCAATACGCTCCTGTGTGTCCTTGCCACGTTTGGGTCTTATCAACACATAAATACGCTTTACTTCTGTTGCACGCAGAAGTTTCTCAATGATAACTGAAGGAGAATAATAATTTCTAAACTTTAGAACATGAACCCAACGTTTCGAAGTCGAACCGAACCATTGATGTGAAATGCCTTAATTAGCTTGTGTATATCCTAATGTGCGCTGCAGTTCTCTAAGAACAGAAAAAAAAACAAATTATACCTCTTCCTAAAAATCCACTGGCACCAGTTAAAAAAATCGTTTTGTCTTCATAAAACTTCTTAATATCGGACTCCATTTTAAATGCAGTTTGACCGATTCTTAAAATACAAGTGCGGGACTTTTAATGAAACCGATATCAGATTTGAGAGTCGACGATAAAATGACAAGTTTTCAATATTTGCGGAAAATTTTATAGCGGCCTAGGCTTTCGAGCCTGAGTTCATGAATATTAATAAGGCAGCTGAGCCATGTGTTTAAAACGTTTAGTTTAATTCACCTCAATTCGCAAGTTTAATTAGCTGCAAGAAAATGCAAGCAGAATTTCTTTGATTTTAAATATTTTCAACAGTTTGCGAATGTTCTCTTACATATTCAGGTAGGGTTTATGTTTATCTTTGGATAATAATGCTCGGAGATGTTATTTATAAATTCTAGTGCAAGATCGATAGCTGAGTCTACGAGATTGTTGTAGTTTCAAAGCTTTCTTGTTGAGGTTTGGTTCACGTCTGTGTTTTAAGTGGAACGGACCATAGGAACTATCGGTCGAGCACCGATTTTTAAAGCTATCTACCATAAGGTGGTTCGGCTAAACGATGACCGGGCAAAGACGGGTAATACGCGCTAGTAGTAAATATATGCACATATATTGCTCACACTTCTATATAGACGCGCCATTTCAAAACAGAGAGTTTTTCACATAGTTTGGGAAAGAGCTGAAGAGCGCACTTGGTAGACGCCGAGTGAGCAGAGGAAGGTGTTTGGAGAAACGTGCTAAAAATAAATTGTGAGGGCGCCGCGTGAAAGAATACAACTTGCAACTCGAATCGAAATGAGATTTTCTCTGGCCACGTAACATCAGTGCGATTGGAAAAGCCGTGAAGTGATCATTGGAATGGCAGCTCTGAGTCCCAACTGTGCCGTCTGCGATGTGGCCGCGTCGCTCACCTGCACCCGCTGCAAGATGGTGCGCTACTGCACCGGGGAGCACCAGAAGCAGCATTGGCCACAGCACAAGAGCTGCTGCAGGCCCTTTCGGGTGCAAGAGGACGAGCAGCTGGGACGCTACTTGGTGGCCACTCAGGACATAAAGGCCAAGCAGATCATATTTGTGGAGGAGCCCCTTGTCGTGGGCCCCAAGTGGTTTCTCACCGAAGACGAGAAATTGGCCAGCATTGTGCCCTGTGTGGGCTGCTATACGCCCTGTCGCCTGGGCAAGCATCAGTGCCGCAAGTGAGTATCTAACACTGTGCAACAAAATTCTAAATTGCAAGTGGCCAGTAAAAATAGATATGAATAATAGAATCTGTTCTTTCTTTTAATGCGGGAAAATTTTTTGGAAAATAATACCTATAGCTGGAAACACCTTGATAAAAGATCTGAACAAAATCGAAAAACTCGAACCACCATTTTGTAGTATAGTGTAATTAATCTGTTTCTTCGAACAGCTGTCGTTGGCCCGTCTGCAGTGCCAGCTGCGTACACGAGAAATTAGAGTGCAGTGTTCTCAGCCTGGGCACTGCGCCCACAGCCAAGTCGGATGCACGTGCTCTGCATGATTATTACCGTCACGATGCGCTGCTGGTGCTGAAGTGCCTGCTACTGCAGCGGCAACAGCCGGAGCGCTGGCAGGCCCTGCTGGAGATGCAGTCACATGCGGAGGAACGCTTGGGCACAGAGCTGCAGCAGGAAGCGGAACAGCGCATTGTTAGCTATCTGGAGCAGCGGTTTCTGCAGCGCCTCAAGCAGAGCAAAATCCGTGAGTGCTGCCTGCTCAGCGACTATGAGCCGGAGTTGCTGCATCGCCTGTGCGGCATAATAGAGACCAACTACATGGTCATTGAGCTGGCGACGGGTGTGGAGCTCAGCGGACTCTTTCGGCAGGCCTGCATGATGGAGCACGCCTGCCAGCCCAATTGCTACTTTCAGTTTGATTCCGTCACGCAGCGCATTGCGGTGCGAGCCGGCTGCGATATGAAGAGGGGCGACCACCTGAAGATCACCTACACGAACATATTGTGGGGCACGCAGATGCGGCAACACCATCTGCGCATGACCAAGCACTTCAGCTGCCGCTGTACGCGCTGTGAGGATCCCACCGAGTACGGCAGCTATGTGAGCGCCATGCGCTGCCTGGGCGATGTGTCCAAGTCGTGCGTGGGCGTGCAGCTGCCGCTGGACCCGCTCAACGAGCAAACCCAATGGAAGTGCGACACTTGCCCCGTACTGCTGGATGCTGCTTATGTGACGGAAGTGCAAACCCACATGACCGAAGAGGTGGACCAGCTATTGGCCGGCCGACCAACGGCCAGTCAAGTGGAATTGCTATTGGCGCGACTGTCCCAGTTGCTGCATCCCAATCACTTTCACATGTTCAATTTGAAGCACACACTTATTCAGCTTTACGGCCATGAGCCGGGCCTGGAGCTGGCCGAACTAAGCGATATTCAGCTGGATCGTAAGCAGCGACTATGCGATGAGCTGTACAATGTTTGCCAACGTCTCGATCCGCACAGCATCAAGCTGGCCATCTATGTGAGTGTCATTCTGATCGAGATGGCACACACGCTGGAGGAGCAGGCGCGTAGACAGCCTGCACAGGCAATGTCGCAACTGGAGCTGGCTCGATCCCATGTACTGGAGGCAGTGGATGTGCTAGAAAAGGCACAGGACTCTGTAGCTGGCAAGAAGCTGCACGACAAGCTGCAGCGTGATCTATTCGAGCATGAAAAATTAACGCTGGCCCTCTGCCATAGCCAGACTGCAGTTTAAAACTATAAATATAATTGATTACTTGTTAAACTATAAAATATTTCTATATAAGAAATACTATTTTACAATTAATTTACTCTTAATAGCCTACTGCTACGCAGCATGCAGATCCACGCGCTGTTGCTCCAACAACTGCGGATGAGCTTCAAGCACATCTCGCTGTTGCCTCATATTTTTGACGATGCCCGGCAGATGCCAGCCGTGCCTCAGCAGACTGTCCGTCACATCAAAGTGGGCGTGGCGTATACAACGCAGCTGCGAACAGTGCGCCACCGTGCGCAACTCTATGGCCATGTCATGCACCAGGGCCGCCATATACTGTTCGCTCTCGTTGATGGTGTGCAGCTCGAGCGTAAAGTGTGGCCGTTCAAAATGTATCAGCTTGATGCCATAGACGACCGGCTGGCTGTTGTCGGCAGGCCGTAGAAGGCCCTTGCAGGCCAGCTCGTAGGCCGCCTGCGTCTGTAGATCGACACCGCATAGTTCGTACATTTTGCGCTGGTGTGAGGCTTGCATGGAAGAGGCCAGGCCGCTGATGCGCTCTGCGGTGACATGACGATGGTTGGCGCGCACCGTGACGTGCGAATCGGGCAAATGATTCTCTGTGGCGGTACCCATGCGAGCGGTCACATGGTAGACGCGCACTGGCCGGTTGCGCTGTATGAGACTCGACTGTTTCAGTCCATTGTTAAGGCCGAGCACTGTGAGCAAAAAATGGCTTAGGTTCTCAATTAAAAGTACGACTGGATACTTACACAAGACGCCGCTTGTGTGGCTACCAAGTGTGGCGACGGCGGCGCAGCGAATGTCATCTGGCATGTATCGTGGGCCAGCGGCTAGTATGTGATCCGATAGATCTGTATCTTTGGCTATCTTATGAAGGACAGTATCCGCGGCAGTGCCAGTGCCTAGAAGCAGTCTGCTCTTCGGTAACTTACATGGTTGTCTCTGCTCCAGTTCATTGAGTCCTGTGAAATTTGAATTTCTTTAAATTTAGCTCTTAGCGCTTATTTCTATTACACACCTTTGCAAATGTTGCTCAGAATGGCGTTGCGCACGTGCTTCACCTTAATACCAGCCGGCTTATATACATTTATGATGCCATTTAAGTGCTTAAACACAGTGGCCGCATCGTAGACCTTTGTAAGTGCCATGATTAACAAGAATTATATAAAAACAAAGAGCTCAGCGTGTTTTTGTTTTGAAATTAATAGCCGCCAGCTGATTTAACGATATATATCGTCCATCGCTAGTGTGTGTTATACGATAAGTGATTAGTGTTGGAAACTACTGCACCTTGTCGTTTTGCAGCACAGCACAAACAGCAGGGTTGACTCGCTCACACACATTAGGCTTTGCACGTGTTGCATTTGTTTTGCCTGATCGCTAATAGTTGCGAGTTGTTTAATTGTCAAAGAAACAAATTTAAAAGGCGATTAATCAACATGAAGTGGACTACAGCGAACCTGAAACATCCCAATTACACCGCCAAACATGAATTGTTTGTGGGCACACACACAGGCTCTTTTAAACGTAAGCCAAACACCATGCTCTGCTGCCGGCGCTTATTCTTAAATGTTTTTCAGATCTTCTGCCTGCTGCTGAGCAGAATCCACATACTCAGTCAAATCTCAGCGATATAAGTGCCCTAGACAAGGAATCGCGTGTGACAACGCTGGCCTTTGGCAATGAAACGCAAACCGAAATTCTGCTCGGTCGTGCCAAAAACGTTGCCGAGATTAATTCGCTTGGAATTGGCGGTGGCATGAACACGCGACAAGTTAATTTTACCGGCGCTCCAATTGTGGGTCTGGCGCGCTATAACAACAATTTGATTGCTGGCATTGGCAATGGACAAATACAGAGTTTGTCGCTTGATGCAGTGGACGAGGAGGAGGATCAGGAGAAAGAGCCCCTCATTATCAACACAGGCGATCATATGGAACATTTGCGCCAGTGCTCCACGGCTAAGCACATTGTAGCCACCGGCGGCAAGGCACGACAGAATAATCTAAAAGTTTACGATTTGAGTGCCGATGGCAAGCAAATATTTAGCTCCAAGAATTTGCCCAACGATTATTTGCAACTTGAGGTGCCCGTTTGGGACAGCGATATTGGCTTCGTGGATGGCCCGAACGTTTTGGCGACCTGTTCGCGCCATGGCTATGTGAGGCTCTACGACACGCGGAAGCAACGGCGTCCAGTTTCGCACTTTGCCAGTGAGGAGCACGGCATGAGCTTCGCGACGTTGGTGGCACGCGGCAATTACATATATACGGGCACCACCATGGGCGTTTTGAAGGTAAGTTTCAGTTATGATATTGGAGCTACTTTAATTAGTTAATTTATTGTTCAGGCATTTGACACGCGGCGCATGAAAACCCATGTGCACACCTACAAAGGATTTACGGGCGGCATTAGCGACCTGCACCTGGATGAGACGGGCAAATACCTGAGCTCCGCTTCCCTTGATCGCTATGTGCGTGTGCATGAGGCCGACTCGACAGTGCTGCTGTATCAGTGCTATGTGAAGTCGAAGGCAACCAAAGTGCTTATTAAGCAGCTGCCAGAGGAGCTGCGAAAGGAGTCCAGCGATGATGAGAATGAAGGGGAACAGGAAGTGAAAACGCATAGCCAAAAGAAGCGAGCACTGAAAGCAGCGCCGCTGGACACAGAATATGAGGATATGTTTGATCAGATGCCCACCGTGGGGTAAGTTTATAATATATACACATTGCGCGGTCTGTTTATAAATTCTCAATTACTCACAGTGATAGCGATGATGAGGCGGTCGAGAAGCAAACGCCGGTGGCCACAAAGCGGAAAGCGCCCAAACAAACGCAGAAAATAAAAAAGAAAAAACAATAAATCCCACATAAAGTTAAGTTTTATATTAAAAGATATATGCTATGTTAAAATCCGACTATTTCCAAGCCTGTTTTAGATGCAGCTCCCTTTGCTGCTGATAGTTTACGTATAAGCGATAAGTGCAGTAGTAAAAGAACTCCACAATGGATATCATGCTCAGACCCAGACACAGATTAAAAATTCCGCCCAAGTCAGCTGCAATTATGTAAAAATGAATAAAAGCTAGTAGCTGGGATAACCAAGCGCTTACACAACAGTCCAATCCACGACATGACTGTCACCTTTCGTATCACAGGCACCACCTGCTTGGCCAAATAGACGCGCAACACAAAGCTGTCATTGTTGAGCAGCTCCGTCGTGCTACGGAAGTAATTGAGTGTGAAGTGAATGCCGATTATATATATTCGGATTGGATACTTACTAAAAGTTACTCACGGAGAACTGATGCAGGTTGAGATCTGTTTTATAGGAAAGCGTTGAGTACGTAACGTCATAGCAATTTGGCAAGCACTGATCACAGCGTACGCTCTTAAAATTGTCTGGGAGTAAATTTGTTTTAAATAAAACAGATGATTAGGTATAAGAACACACAACTTATCAAAGTTTGTTCAACAAAATAAAGACAAATTATTTGTTTAGGCGTAAAAAAAAGGTTAATTGCTGCTTAAATTTTTATCCATTCTTGAAAGGTTAAACTCCTCAAAATTATAAAGAAATCAAATCAATCAGAATATTTAAATACTCTTCATTGTAGCTTGATTGTCACGCTAGTTTTACATAGTGTCACCTAATTTATTTACTCTAAAAGTTATATCATATGTCAGAAGCTCTGGCTCTTGTGCTTGCCGAAACATATTATTTATACCCCAAACAAATATTGTAAGTTAAGTGCTATGCATACCGAAGCGCATTAAAGGAGAAAAATTGAGTTCAAGTCGAGCTGGGAGGAACACACTTATGTGTAAGGGCACGCATTTTGAATATTTAATATAAATTATAAATGATGTAACTGGAGCAAACAGAACAACGCGGCATACACACCACAATCCACCACAAAAGCGATTCGCAGGAGCGTGAAATATGTCAGACACAAGGCGAAGGACACGGCGCACCCTGACAATGGCATTGAAGGTAGCTAACTAAACAATTTCTCAAGCTCGAGTTAAGAAAGTGAATGAATAAGATGGTAAGTGTGGGAAGTGAGTCAACTTTTTTTCTTTTTTTGGCTAATCTCTCTAGTTAAATATAAATGTAAAGTATTTTCAGCTTACCATAGTTATCCGAGTAGCAGAAGGTATCGTTTAGGTTGCACTCCTTGAACTTTTCACTCACAATGGGCAGCAAATAGGGATGACAGCCGCAGCGCTTGCCAATGGCCTCCGTCTGGCAGGACAGCAGGCAGGATGCCTGACGATAGTTGCGCTGCTGCACATCATCCGAGATGAGGCAATCGCGTTTGCTCTCCGGCAGCTCGAGCACCTCAATCGAGGAGGTCTGCACGGTGGGCGAGACCTCGACAAAGCTCTCGGATCTGGCTGTTATGGTGACCGATGCAGTTGTCTCGGTTACATAATCCATGGGATGATGAACAAGCACAATGAGACCGGTGCTCAAATTGCGCTCAGAGCCCTCAGCGCCAATGAAGGTGAGACCGCCGTCCAAGCCAAAGATATTGGCGGAGAAGGGCAGAAAGCTGGCATTGCGAGGATTGTAGTTGAACGAGCAGCAGGGTCCAAGGAATGCCGTTGTGGGTATAAAGGATAAATATTCGTGGGTCTGGTTACACGGAAACTCCGTGTAGCCCCAGAAGCAGCGCTTCACAAAGTCCACACAACCCGGACTGACAGCCATGGCAGCCTCCCAGATGGACACATTGTTTAGGCGCAGCACAGCATCTGTAACCTTGTAGCTCTCGTGCGATGGTGGCACAAAACTCTGATCCGTGAAGGCATTGAGAAACTCAAATCCAGCTGCCACATCGGCTACATCATACTCCGTTGGTATCTGGCTGCAAAAGTTGAATACGATTTTGAGCGTGCGGTGATCATGCGGGGAATTTCTCTCCAGGACACTCACAGCGTTCGGACGTAGCGGTGGACGCGTTCCGTGTTGACCGTCTTAGGACTGCATATGGTGACGCCGGGAAAAGCCACATCCGTGATGGACAAATCATTCGAAATGGTGTTCAGTATGGGATACGAGTAGAACTTTAACCAAAGCAGCAGCGTCAGAAAGATGCTCAGCAGCAGCAGCTGCACCAGCACCGACGACCAAATCAATCTGCAATGCCAATGCCAGCTAAAACCTCACCCCAGCTTTGGTACACATTCAGCTTGACTCACCTGGACAAGCCTTGCGTGCGATTGCGTCGCAGCAGCCACATGCCGCTCACCTTGGTGCGCTCCGTATACTCCCAGAAGGTGTTGGCAATGGCCAGCCTGAACGGATGGCTTCTCCAGTATTGAATCAGCCTCTGCCTGCCGCGTGGCGAGCCGCGCCCGACAGGCGGCCACTTGACAATGTTGGCCATTTCGTCAGCTCTGAAGCCGCTGACACCGCATGACGCTCACTTTTATAGGCCAGGACAGAAACGGAACAGGACATCGGCTGCCAACTTTAAGTGCTAATTATGGGCTAATTGTCTTCCTAATTTGTTCAGTCTGGGTAAGTTTGTCTTTTGTAGCACATTAATTATAACGATATGGTCCCAAGAACCTCAAAAGAGTCGCGAGGGGCAGGTGAAAAGAAACTTGTGAACCATGCAAACTTAATTGATTTACTGTGATTGCTTGGAGCGGTAATAAATACTTTAAGAAAGCTTTTATAATGAACTTACTTACGGAATTCAGGTAAATACACTTTCAAGGGCAGATCCATGAAAAAATATGATAGGGATTACGAGTCCGTAAAATCACTAGAAATTCAACTTAGCTTTATTTAATTCTTGGACAAATTGCAATTGAGGCCATTCGTAATTTCGAGAAAAAGTTACAAATGCGCTCAGAAATGTTTTACAAAATTAAAAAACTCGCCATTTAAATATACAGAAATTTTTGAGCTAATTTTTTCTAAGTAAAACTTTTTTAAAGAACCTTTTTTTTAACGAAAAAAAGCAATTTTTTTTTGTATGGTAATTTACTTAAATTCCGAAAATTTGTTGTTTCGCCTTTGAAAAGTCGGAGTATAACCGAATCAATACCTTTTTGTTTTTTAACATTATTATTATTTTTATTTAAAATCTGCCCGCTTTAAAATAATTTTTTTTTTCTATAAACGTTGGCAGTTAAGTATTGCGTGTAGGGGAAACAGTGGAAGGTGCGGAGTTAGACATCTACTCTTTGGGGGAGGTCAAGTGGGCGTGATCTGGGCCGTCTCGTTGTTGAGCTGTTGTCCAATAAATACATGATCAGAGAGTTGTCGATAGTTACCATTATTAGATTATATTTAAAAACTTGATTATATATGAGCCCTATGAAGAATGAAAGCAAACGTTAATCGTAAACCAGAAAATCTATTTAAATGTTAACTATTTACCTCAAAGTCAAACTGCAGCTGTTGAAAAATTTCGTTTGTTGTTTGTGAATGCACCTAAATCGCCTGCAAAGTACCGACCAGTCCCATTGCTAAAGTCAACTTTAACACAATAATTTCACTTGGGCAACTAGTTTAAAGTGCACTTCTTTAGCGAACGGTCCATGTTTGTGTCCAAATTTAAGTTTCCACAACTTTTGCATTGCTCGAACTGCGCTCCTTGCGCTGCATATGTGCAGCTGCTGGGTCCAGAAGTTTTCATCTACAAATCTTCAGCTCTTAAGCAATGGCAATAAAAATCAAAACTTGTGCGGACAACAACAACCTGCGGGCAATCAGCGAGGGCGAGGGCGAGGGCGAGGTCGAGACCTGGAGACAAACTAACAGCTAGAAAAAAAACAACAAACAAACAAACAATTTACTCGATGCGAGAAAAAGTTGCAGCTCGTGAAGTTCGGGACTCAACTCACAAGCATTTAAAAGGAATTAGTTGTTGACTTTATTGCGGACTTTACTGTCACATCTTAAGCAGATGCGATTGAATTTTAATTAAACGCAAGTTTCTCGGCAACAACTCATACTAAATGCGCATAGTTGAGTTATTTGTATGCTAATCAACACAATTAAAATAGGAGTCCGACAAGCAGATGCCCTCGGCGACGAGCTGCCGCGACATTCTAGACTCAATTCTATGAAAAATGCGTTCTTGAATAACTTCGGTGTTTATTGTTCGTATAAATATGCCATGAAAATGTCTGTAAATATGAAAGCCCAAGGCTTTTACCGATTTCGGGGGAAATGGTATAGGTATCTAAGAAATGGATATGCTATACTATACTATATACTATACTTATGTCTAGTTTATACAGACAGAGGTGATGTTTCCAGCGACTCGGCTGTTGGGGGTCCGAGATGCACTCTATTGCCTCTTAAATACATTTGCTCAGTATTTGTATATACCTTACACCAGTACACCCTTACAGGGTATAAGAAACCACAGCACTGAACTGAGTCAAAGCAAAAACATGTTGAGACACGCCCACCGCCCGCCTTTAGACTAGCGAAAACTTTAACATGAACTCTTAATTTTTTGTCAACCAAAATGTAAAGCTTGTGACAGGCAAGTAAATGCCTTTAACTTTAAACTTAAGTTTAACTTTTTTGCTGCCTTTCTTATCAGAGGAAAGCGCGAGTGTCGCGCCATGCATAAAAGTCTGATGGGAAATACACACAGAGAGACTCACACACGCACACACACACACACACACACACACAACTATATCGCCCTCTAACAAACTGCTGAGCAATTTGTAAAATTTGTGAGTCCGATAAACAGAGCATCACGTAGAGGTTGACTTTAAACTGGGCCAATTGAAGTGTTGCGGAAAGCGACCTTTAGAGCAGCGCAGTTTGCAGTCTTAGCTCAATATTTCTAGCAAATGACCCAAAGCTCATCAGGCTTTTGAGCGCCTTCGGGCAGTGGACAGAATTTGCCGAAAATTAGCAATTTGTTAGTTCAACTTTTAATACCCTGCTCAAGCAACAAAGGGGTAGATGAGCTGTGCTAAATGTTTTAGCGATTTGTTATTCTCATCTGAATTTATGAGTGAAAGAGAAATGTTAATCAAATTGTGGGTCTCAGACAGGGAGCAGAGAGGTAACAGCATTATCTATATTATGATCTGCACCGAATCCAATCAGACTGTTGCATATTGAGTAATTTGATAGCACGATTTGTGCAAGGGTATTTTTTGTATGTGCATATTATTTATTTCGCGTATGCGTACGACTCATACTCACACTCAGATATACTCACTTTCATGCTACATATTTTATCTCAAAAATTCCATAAGCTAGAGACAGCTGCGACGACAATAGAGTACCTCAGAGCTGGCTACAGGCTATCTGTAAGTTAAGCACTCACGACTTTTACCTTTTCTCCTGCTTTATTTAGTTTGTTTGTCGGGAAGTTGGTTCGCCTGTTTGTCAAAGTGTTTTTCGCCAGCAAACTTTTATTTGTATGAAAAAATAATTTGGGCTTCAGAAGTTGAGCTTAACTGGTTGGTTGGTTGGTTAGTTAATGCTGCGTGGATGCGATGGGCTGGGCGGGGCTGGGCTGGGCTGGGGGAGTCTCAACATGTTGCCAGCAAGTGGTTGCAGCAAAGTTTTAGTTGCTGTATGACAGAAATTCGAGCGCAGAACGTGGAATTTGTCATATTAGGCAGCAGTTTTCCCTTTGATTACAACAACTTTTTGCAATTAGTTTGTTCGCCAAAAAATTTGACAGCGAAGTTGAGTTTAGTGTGAAACTAAAAAATATGTTTTGAATAGTGTTGAACAATTGATTTGTTTAAATAGAACTTAATTAATGTTAATCAACATCTGGTAATGTCATGCTGTTAAGATTTCATTAACATTTATGTTAAGGATCAAACATGTAAACAGAATAAAATAGCTGTTTTCAGGCTGAAGCCAGTTTAGCTTAAAGCCTGTTTGCAGCCTTGTTCGAAAGCATCGCCATTTAAAATAAGCTCTGCAGTAAAAAGTTTAACAGAGACCTTAACAGACATGCGCTGAAGTGATAGCTAGTAAATTTTCGATACAAGTTGCGCATTATTATTGCTCAAGTGCCAATTCGGATAAATATTAGATTGATGTTTGGCTGGCACTTGAGTCAAATTTGGTTTTTGATTATCGCTCGTAATGATAAGCCAACAAATGCCAACTGACAATCAGGCATATCAACCAAGTCAGCCAAGTGGAATGGATTTGCTTATAAGCCCAGCAGCAAACATGGCCAGCGGCTATTTGGACAGCACTTGGAAGTGTCTTACAACGCCATCAACATCAGCTGTCCGCACATAAAAATGGCGAATGGCGAATGGCAATCGAATATTTGCATACACATTGAAATGTGAAAGCCACAATGACCTATTATGGCCCGAAGACGCTGCCATAATCGTAAAATAAAAACAAATAATTCACTGTACGCGTACACTCCTCCACCCGGACACTCACAATCCCATTGCAGGCGGCACTTTACGCTTAAGTGTCGCCGCGTATCGCCGGGTAACTGGGCAGCGGCCCAAATGGGAATAAAAACTACGAGTGTGGGTGTAGTAGGGGGGGTGGGTGGTTGGGGATATTTTGCTTGTTGCAGGCGCCACGGATATTGAGCGCGCTGCAAGCGGAGCTTGCGAGGCGGCAGCTCTCAATGGCATTAAGGATATATGGAAACGGAAGCCGGGACACTGACAGCCTCGCCAGAGATTTGCCACAGCAGCAAGGGCAATGGCGAGTTGGAGCTGGAGATTCGTGGTTTGCGCCGAGTCAGCGAAAATAGTTGGCAAGGGACACAGCACACACAAACACACGCATACACACGGACACACACACTTGCACATAAGAAAAAGGATTTGCAGAATACTCTGAAGTCGAAACTTAAATACTCATCTGCACGAAATAAAAATAAACCAAGAAGTTGGTATAGTTACAATGGACGAGGGGAAGGGAACAAATTAGTTAAGATTTTACTGATCTTATAAATACATATATATTTTGTTAGGATATAATCAATGTCTACAACTTGCGGCATAGAGAATATTACACTGGTCTAGCAGTCGATTGGTAGGATTATACATTTCTAGACTCTGATATACATACCTATTTTCGTTCTGATATCAATATAATAATATAATATAAATTTAATTTTTTACTATCTATTTAGAACATTTATTTTTTTATGCACATCGGCAATGTTTTCGTACTTTCAGTTTTTTTGACTAGCCTTAAAATTTTCTTATTAGATATCTGTTCTCCTTTCTACTAGTGTTTATCTATATTCTTAAATACTTTATTTTTTGTAGTAAACGTTTTTATATTGGGCATATCCTTTTTTAATGGCATTCTCAAAAGTCGCTTTAAATTAGTTTCACACAAACAAGCTTAACATAATGTGATCTCATGTGAATAGCTAATCAGCTTCGCTTCGAATCCAAA